CTCACAAGGCTCATGGACATCGATGTTCAATCTTGAACATCGATGTTCGTGGGATTCTGCCAAGGCCAACCTTCATGGAACATCGATGTTATGACGCATAACATCGATGTTCAGTAGGCTCGGCCAAGGCTAATTTCATGTGGACATCGATGTCCATCTGATGAACATCGATGTCCTGGCCCTGCTACACATGAACGACAATCGTTCCATACGAAAACCGACGGTCGATTTTCGTTTTGTCGAACTCTTTTGACTTACTACCAATATCCCCTTGATTGACATCTCATACCAATCAAGTGCTTGTTGTCAAACAATTTTGACATAAACCAACATCAACATATATATCACATATACATAATTGAAAATAATATATCATGATCATGCTTTATCACATAGAACATATCATGTATATTTACAGAACATATCAAACATATGCTTATAAATTTGGTTTAGAGCTTCACAAGAGGCTCCGCTACCACTGTAAGTATCCGGGCATGCAAACTTGACAATCAAGTGCAGCGGAAAAACCCGGAAACCTTGGAGGATCCAAGTGAAGCAACTAAATCGAACAACAAAAATGAACATACCTGAAACGGTTAGGATCTTTCACCTAACTGAAGAACCGAATCAGCTAGAGCCGGAAGGATATCCTGCTCCTCTACGGTATCCACACGAACCGCCAATCACAGGCCGAAATCGTCTCACGATCTCCAACCCCCGAGCACTCCCGAACCGTGGTGCTAGCTACGGATTTCCGGGAGCTATGTGGTGTTTGATGTGTTCTACTTTCTTTCTCAAAGAATGGGCGTGAGTGTGTTCTTTTTCAAAACTGAAACCTCTCACTCTCAAGTCTGAAAAATCTGATGGCCATAGCAAAATGAGCACATACTAATCATATTATTCACACCCACTAATCCCACTCACAAAAGTGTTAGACAATGGCCAACACACTTGGCCATCATGATTAGCCTTTTGTCCAATCATGTCTCCACTAGTGCTAATGGGATTACACATCACTAGGCACCAGGTTTGGCTCAATAATTCTGACAATTATTGAATCAAACCAGCCCAAAACGACCCTGGTCCAACCACGGTCCAACCATGGTCCAACCACAAACCGGTTCAACCACAGTCCAACCATGGTTCAACCACCTACTCGAATCAACGATTCTAAGTGTGTGACCCTGTAGGCACTTGTAACGTCCAGCAATAATTCTAAACTCATTTACAATTATAAGCAAAGAGCGGCGTCTAGCAACACATCATTGCTACCCGAACGACAAGATCAGTACTGATTCTATATGCCTCGGAAACATATCATCGTCCCTTCTTCCCATTATCAAGATTAAACATGAGACATGGAATATGTCAATCTCGGTTTCTTGATCCTCGAGTTAACCGCGTAAAACGGATACCTATGATATCACCATATCATAATCCGAGCATGGCCATGCATTTACGGTTCAACTCTATCAAGAAACCATCCGATAATGTACCCGTTATATGGGTTGGACGAATCCCCTCTGGATCATACAAAACCCACTACACATTTATCATATACCCAATGATTACCCTTAAGTCCACCCAGTTACGAATGACTAGGAATAATATCAAAGTATACGACTCATATGTTGGGAACCTTGATGATCTCAGGTCTAAGGACAATACATATAAGAACCACTAGTGACAATCATATAACGTTCCATGTAGGGTTCTTATGTGGGTCGGTCCAGTCCACAAGTTCTCTAACTTGTACCCGTATGTAGAATTCATATCTCATATAATTCACAACATACGCTAGTCTTAATTTATTATTACAACCCATCCATAATAATAATCGACTAGGGACATTTTAAGAATACAAAGTATTCTAGGGTTATAAATATGTGCAAGCGATTATTTCATAATCATATTTATTGGAATAACCTTAATGTATATACATGACTACAATCATCCATTGATTGGCTTTTGGGCATATTACTAACACCAAGCAGCCATATCCTTCCTTTTCTTGGTTTTTGAGGAACCATATATATTCTTCTTTTGGTATGGGCATTCAAACTTGATATGACCTGGGCAGTTGCATCCAAAGCACACTAGAGGATCTTTCTTGGGCTTTTCACTCCCCTAGGACTCCTTCCTTTTTGTTGCTTCTTCATCTTGACCTTTGAATAGTTGAAATTAGCACCATCAAAATAGGATGCCATGTTGATGCTTGTTCCCTCATAAGCCATGATCTTTTTCTCTGGAGGCTAATCCACTTCACTAAGAACGCAGCTCCGCTACCAATTGTTGGCCCAGAAAGGCAGAGAGGGGGGGGGGGGGGGTGGTTGTGTTGAATTAGCTTTTTCGAGTTAAGATAGATTTGGTTCCAGATGCAGCCAAATCGTTGCACAGATTTGGTTTCTATTGCAACCAAATATAAAAACGGTCAAATGAAGAGTATGAGACAGAGGCAATAAGACACAAGCAATTTAGAGTGTTTCCCCATAAAGGAGTACATCCAATACCTAAAGGTCCCCCCAGTAGGATTTCTATCTCTCCACTATACTAGGCTTTTACGGGTTCAACCTTAACCTTTACAAGCTTTTACAGGAGAAGCTCTAACCTAAGCTTTTTAAAGGCTCAGCTCTAACCTACCCTCAAGCTTTTCATAGGCTTAGCTCTAACCTACCCTCAAAACTAATCCTAGCTTTGAGTATCAAGTAAGATTGTAACTAATCTTACTTATAATGCCCTCAACAAGATAACTTCAAGAGTGACTCACTCAAGAAGTGTTTACAACGAGTTTAGAACAGTAGATTCACTCAATTTTTGAATCTCTCAAAGGATTTAGCTCCAGCAGAAAATATATATCACAAAATCTTTCAATGGGCTAAAGTGCTTCTTCTAATGAGGTTTCAGACCTCTATATATAGAATCCAGGATGGGGAAGCTCTCTCACAACGTTCATATAACGGCCATATGATGTCCAGGTGGCATAGGAGTTGACTTCTTACTTCTCTAATAAAACAGTCCACGTAGGCAAGCCAAATCCGGATTTTACTTGAGGAGCAATTATTTTTCTTCAAAAAGTTTACCAAAAATAGAAAGTGCGGACACCAGATCTTCCAAGGTAGAGAGAGGATGTGAGGACCACTTTTTTGAATGCTTTCTAACCATTGGAGTGCAAGTTTAATCGTTAGTTGACTCGGTCTGAAACTGTCCACGTCGGCAAGCCGAATCTGGATATTACTTGGGCAGAAATTATCTTTCTTCAAAAAGATTTCCAAAAATGAAAAGTGAGGACTACCAAATCTTCCAAAGGTGAGAGAGGATGTGAGGACCACTTTTGTGATATTTTTCTAACCCTTGGTGACCAAGTAAAACCGTTACTTGAGTTGCTTAAATGCCACCTACTTTTCAGGACCACTGTGCCAACTGCCTAGAAAGCGACATTTTGGTCGATGCGGTGAAGCCAAATGATCCTGGTCTTTGTTTCTTCAAGAAACTAAATTTTTCCGCCAATACTAAAAACACACAAGGCTTTCCAAAATATTTGTTAATCATCAAAATAATATAATAGACATTGAATAATCATCATAAATATACTAAACAAAATTAGTCTTAATTAATAACTTAATTAAGCCTCAATCACATGTTTAGGCTAATAGTAGGTGGTCTCTAGTGGTGGAGACTCAAACGAAATCTTCTTCTCACCTCCTTTCTTTTTAAGATTTAGTTATTTACTTTTGTTTATGTGGTTTGTTTCCCCACTATATACAAGATATGCAAAAACTGTTCAATTATTGCACAAGATTTCACCCCAACATGGGTGGGTGCCTAATACCATCCCACCCGTTACAAATCCCCGAATCTAATAATCTCTGGTTCGCTATGATCAGTCCATTATGTTGTTACCTAAGATATGATGCCTGATGATTTTTTCCTAGATTTTTTAAGAAATAAAATCAAGATGGAGATTCCTTTGATTGTTGGATGTTGGTTAAGAAGAAAGAAATAAGGTGAGAAGGCAAAAAAAAATGATTTAGCTCGGGTCCTCACAGTATCCTCCACCACAACAGCTTAAAACGGGTCCGGCGGTTGCTCAGGGCAAAAGACAAGGGTGTGTTGGGGTCAGTCGGGGAGTGGATTAGTTTTTCTTTTTAACTACAGTATTTTTACACCTTGGAAAATAATGTTTTTTTTTTTGTTTGGACCTTACTCATTTAAAACACGTTAAAGGCGTTGAAATCCTTTTAAGCATTTTTTTTTTTTATGTATACTACGAATTTTTAGAACTAAGGACAAACCACCTTGAAAACAAAAACTGGACAAATGAGGAGACTTTAGTCATTTTGAGAAAAGAATTAATGGCAGTGTGATTATTAATAAGAAGAGAGTAAAAGGTAAATATGGACTATTGTAGTAAATCATTGCAATCCCACAAAAATTGGCTCTTAACTAGCCTTCATTCTCGAATCTATTTTATCCCACGAAAGTTGGCTCTTAACTCGCCTTCATTCTCCAATCTATTTTATCCTCCTCAAATTGTTGAAGTTTGCTACATGCAGACACATATATAATTCGGCATGTATAATTCGGCATGTATTCCTCCACAGAATTCTTGTTGAACGCTCATCTGTCGGTTCAGTCTTTAATGTTTGATGACCAGCAGGATTCAGCAATTTAAAAGTCAAAAAATCCACACTCAAAAGTGTGGATAAGGCGCTAGCGAGTTTTATTGTGTCACATGCCAAATCTTTATTTGGATAAGAGAGGATTTATCACTAAATCTCGGCCTAATCTTTCAACTCAGTCACCCATCTACGCTCCCTAAACTAACAACACCTTTTTTTAGCAAATGGATTCTCTTTTTCAGTTTTAATTGGCTCATTACCTGAACACAAACATCGCTGAACCATAAGCTCTACTATTTATAGTATCCATGATTTCCTCACACTTGATGGACTGCTTGGGAGAGATAGAAGATAAGGAAAACAAGGAAGCCAATTAAGAAAATGAGTAAGCCTTCGCGCTGGGTATATGCTCCGGGTCCAGTGATCGTGGGTGCTGGGCCTTCGGGTCTCGCAGTTGCTGCATGTCTGAAAGAAAAGGGTATCCCAACTGTAGTAATTGAGAGATATAGCTGCGTAGCCTCTTTGTGGAAACTAAAGACTTATAATCGCCTTCGCCTTCACCTACCAAAGCAATTTTGTGAGCTACCTTTGATGGGATTCCCAAGTGAATATCCAACATACCCAACTAAAGACCAGTTTATTGCGTACGTGGAGGAATATGCTAAGAAGTTCGACATCAGGCCACACTTCAATGAGACTGTTTCACGCGCAGAGTATGATCAAAATCTCGGGTTTTGGCACGTGAAAACGATAGGGCTAATGGCAGAGGAGACTGAGTACGTGTGCCGGTGGGTGGTTGTGGCTACAGGGGAGAATGCGGAGGCGGTGGTGCCAGAGATTGAAGGGATGAGAGAGTTTGTTGGAGATATAAGGCATACAAGTCTGTACAAGAGCGGCGAGGACTACAAAGGCAAAAAGGTTTTGGTGGTCGGATGTGGGAATTCGGGGATGGAGGTCTGCCTGGATCTATGCAATTATAATGCTAAGCCTTCGCTTGTGGTAAAAGATAAAGTAAGAACGAATTAAAGGAACGACTTAACCGAGTTGTCTCGGAGGTCTTGAAATTTTTCAAATTCTACGACCACAAAAAGCTTTTAAATTCCAACCGCCTTTTTCCCCCCATGGATTGGATAGGAGTCTTCTTTTAGCATTGACTATGAATCTTTTTTAAGCATTTTTTTTTTTATTTCGTCGCGTGTATACAAATTATAACTGTTTTAGTAGCCACCCAGCTTTCAACGAAATATTTTCCTTGCCACCGACGTTACAGGTATATATCTTTTCAGCTTTTAAGGTCAAACAAATTCTTTCTAACACATCCTTAACTATCCACCACGTTGCACACATTTACTAAGATGTTATTATTATTTGATATTTTAGCTTATAAAATAATAAGTTGTAATTTATTTTTATAACCTTTTTATTTATTTATTTATTATCCTCTTCCAACATATGTTTTTATAGTTATTTTTATTACTTTATTCTTCAAATTAACTCAATTTTCTCTTAGAAATAACTTTACAATATAGATATATCTCATCCGCTTACTGTGGAATGAATATAATTCATTTATTTTCTTTTTCCGTAAAAAAGTAGAATAGGTTCATATGGTAAGATCCATGATTCCTAAGACAAAATTACCTTTTTTTCAATAGAACTACGATTTGCATATTGAAACCTGGTCGATGAAAACATAAAAAAAATATTTAAGTTACTTACTATGTAAAAATAAAGTAATTGTCTTTATCTTTGCCTCGGGGTTCTGATTTCAGATGTTATCTTCTATTTAAATGCAATCTTGATGACTAGGAATTCTGATTTGGCTAATTAGAGTTTTATTTGGTGACGTTCCGAGAAAACATAAAGTTAAAACAAATTGGAACAAGAAAAAAAACACTAGAAAAGAGTGTTTTATCACTCCATGCAAACTAGAATTGCTCAAACACAGTGGCTTATTTAAGTATAGGTATGTTTTTTTTAACAAGTATAGGTTTGTTTGTTCAAAAGGATGTATTGTTAGCATTGACTTATAGCACATGTGTTCCATCATCAACACTATTTAACTAGTTGTGTCCTTTTTTCTGCCACTACCTTTTTTTTTCTAATTGAAAAATTTTATTTGATAATGAACAAAACTACTAAAGCAGCAGTCATAGAGATAATAACTGCCGCTCGTGGAAAAGATAAGCATAACAAACACATTACATCAACAGAGGACGAAGGATCAGGATAACGAACACATTACTATTAATACTTGTCTAAAATTTTCATCGCAACTCTAATTTTTTAGTGGTGAAGTGCATGTTCTATTACAGCAAGTTTTTTACCACTTGCATCAAGCTTTGGAGTTGCAACTCTAAAAATAATATTTAGGTTGTTTTTTTAATGAAGGTGCATGTTTTACCACAAGAGATGCTTGGAACATCAACTTTCGGATTGTCCATGTTTCTGCTCAAGTGGCTCCCCACACGAATGGTGGATAGATTCTTGCTCATAATGTCAAGGCTTGCGCTCGGTGATACGACCAGATTCGGATTGTATCGTCCGTTGTTGGGTCCCCTTGAGCACAAGAACCTGTTGGGGAAGACCCCGGTGTTGGATTTTGGGACACTAGCCAAGATCAAAAGTGGGGACGTTAAGGTAATGCTCCGATCACTTTTCTTCTATTCTCTCTGGAGAACGCCAATTAGTCTTGTGATAGATTTTAAGTGCTTGCGTCAAACAATTGTATATTCTCGAGCAGGGATCCAGAGATATTGTTGAATGTAGACAAATAAATAAAGGTATAAAAAAATTTCATAACCAATCCACCAAATAAAAAATTTAGTGCCAAACATTATTATACTTATTCTAATTGTGTTTTCATATTTTAAGAGTAATTATACTATATATATACATTAGGTACAACATAAGCATATTTTTTAAATTACAACATAAGCATGTTGAGTTAGTACCCGGCGAAAAATAGTATGCAGGTTAAAAGAATTACATCATTAATCCTAAAATATGAATTTATGTTTGTAATTAAATATACCTAAAAAGGAAAGGAAATCATTAAGAAATTATATTACAATCTATTTTGTTATGTAATAATTTCTCATTTAAAATATATATTTTTAAGAAAAATTTAAAGTATATTTTCCTTAACATATGTAAATCATCAAAACTTCTAGACCACATACATATAGAAAAAGAAAAAGAACAAGAAATATACAGAAAAAAAAAGAAAAATAGACAAAGGAAGGAATTAAAACCTATCAAAATGGGAGAAATTGCCAAAAAATAAAATGACTACATCTTATATAGATTAGATCCAACAAACCTTAATTTTCTAGCTTGGAAGGAAATTTGGTAATTATTTAATGATTCTTAAAAATATTAGGAGCGAGACATAATAAAGTGAGAAAATAATTAGAGAAAATATAATCAATGTGAGAGAAAATTGTAGAAAAGGAAAAAATATTCATGTAATTACTCTGTACCCAGTATATGCACTTGCATACAGTGAATACACTACACCGAAGGTCCATCACTGTTCTCGAGTTTTCACGGGCTGTGTTCGTATACTTAGTTTCTTTTCCTTACGGTTTGCTAATTATTTGTTACAAGTTATTAATTAGTTGAGCAACTTATAGCGAACGCTTTTCAATTGGTTGAATTTACTGTTTTCTTGTAGTATGGTAATATAAATATAATTATATTCTAGTAATAATAACTATTCAAATAAAAACCAATAAATAAATAATGTAAATAAAAATTATTAAATTGGATTATTGTTTTTCTGAACGTGTGCTGATGTGATATACAATATAATAATATATTACTATGATTACACTCTAAAATTTATTATTATTGATATGAAAAATTTTACAAAATTATCCAAGAAAATGTAAAAAACTAAATTAATTTATGAAAAGAAAATGTAAGAAGAAATAATAGTGAATTTTTAAAATTTATAAATTATTTATAATTTTTTTAATTTTACATAAAAATTCACGTATTTTTATTAATTTGATTAAAATCTTCATGATACTTATAGTATATATTACAATGTTAATTGATTTTCGTCATTATACTTGGATAGATTTTTACAGAATTAGTTTTTCATAATTTTATTTTCATATAAAATAAATTTTTACCTATAATTATTTTTTATGGTGTTTATTTCATTCATTTGAATTATTAAATTCAAATTTTTTTCATAAAAAACCCATAAAAATTAATTTTCATTCATTTTCTATAAGCCATGATTGATTTAGAATTTATATTGATTACTTATTCCTTCTATAATTTTTTTTGCCTGTACATATAGCTTTTATTTATCTTTAATATTTAAGATATTATAATATTTTTATAATCTTTAAATACTATTAGACGATATCAAATAATCTATTTATTTTTTTATACCATATTTTTATGAGGACTTTAAAATTTGGATAATTATTTTGTATAATATTATTCTATTATACGCTTATATTTGCACTATTCATTTAGTCCCTTTGACTGCATTCCATAGAGTTTATATTGATTTTTTATGCAGTAAGATAAATTTTTAAAATTTTATTCTAAGTCTTAGTTATTTATATTTCTTTTTTTTCATATAAATCTTATTTTTTAGTAGACAAGATATTTTAGTATTTGTTTGGATTTTCAAATTCATTATGAGGATAATTATTCTATTAAGTTTTATTAAATACTTTCACCATTTATCTAGAATTCATATCTTTTATATCATTCTATTTAGTTATTCATCTATATTTGCATTTTAATATAAAAACTATATTTTTTATAATTATTTATAAATTATTCTTTTCCCTTTTTATGACACATGTTCCATTTTAAATTTCATATTATTTTTATATTTACCTTTTTTCTTTATATAGAGAATATTTTTATTTTTGTTTTTAATTTGGTGTACTAATTATGTCCTAGTTAGAAAAACTTTATATATTGTTGTTGATATCCTGCTAACTTTATTTTAATATTTATATTATTTATATAAAATTTTTATTTATTTATTCTTTCTCTTCGTATCTTTACTTACATATAAATCATATTTATTCTAAAATTTAATGTGTGCCAATTTTATTAAAAGCTTTTTTAGTTTTTTTGAATGAGAGAACACATGAATCCTTTATAAATATTTTAAATTTGCCTATAATGATTTCCTACAATAAAAAATTATACCAAGTTTTTTACTAAGTTTAAACAGTAAAATTTTCTTTTCTTTTTAATTGAGCTTATATTAATTAAACTTTTTTAATTTTTGAGAGCCATTTTTTCATAGTAATTAAATATTAATTTTATTTCTTCCTTGTTTTACTTTGTATTCATCTATAATAAATTGTTATTTTTTTTTAAATTTATAGCTTTCAGTGACAACATAATCAGGGTTATTTATATGTTTAGTCCCTCTACTATATCACATTGATAAGAATGGTCCATGTATGCTAATTACGATTAATTAGGTCCCCTTACTCTTCTTTAATGATAAATTAGGTCCCTCAGTCCGGTTAAATTTGTAATTAGCTGACGTGGCACTGTTTAAGCACATCTGTGGGCCCCACATGTTTGAAAATTAAATTTTATACTGTTTTTATGACAGATATGTGGGGCCCACATTTGCCACTTTAGCTAATTACGAATTAAACCGGACAGGGGGACCAAATTTATCATTTAAGATGAGTAGGGGGACGTAATTAATCCTAATTAGTATAGAGGGACCATTCGTAACAATTCAATATAGTAAGGGACCAATCATATGCTTAACACTAAAAAAAGTTATATAAAAATATAAAAAAATTACATTAAAGAAGGAAGTACTAGAGGTAATATATATTCTCTCTTATTGAGTCTCTAAAATTTCAAAAATATATTGCATCACTTTAATTATTAAAAATAAGTATAATTTTTATGTAATATGTAAAAAAAGAATAATTAGTGGATTAATATAAATTTTATAAAAATTATTTCTCACTAAAACTAAAAACAATTATTTCTATGTCACAAATTATTTTTAAATAAAAGCAAAGAAAGTTACAAATTAAATATGTTAATACAGGAAAATAAAAAATAAGTTCTAAAAAATAAATATAAAAAAATAAATAATATAAATGACGAAGATATAGAATGTAAAAAAATTTATTTTTATAAATAGGTTTTAATTTTCTTTCACTTTTTTCTTAATCATAACATGATTTTTCTTTTGAAAATTTGTATTATTTATTTGTCCTCTTAATTTTTTTTCTCTTTTTTACTCATATATTTTTCAATCTAATGGTTTAGTTAGTCTAATTTTACAGCATGAGAATATCTTGATATGAGAATAAAATTTGTATTTTATTTTACTTCGATATTTTTATGCTTTTTACAAATTTTAAATTTGCCTATAATCATTTTCGACAACCAGTTTTTTTAACTATTTTAGTTGTTAGGATTGTTTTTTTTAATTAAAAGTCATTGTATAGGGATATATATTATAATAACTTTTTTTTTGAGACGAGCTACTTCCTATTATTAGTTGTCTGCGACATGGCCTATGTTCCTTTTGCACAACACTAGAAGGCATCGAGGATAGATTAGATGCAAAAAAATTAAATATTTGATAAAGCTACTAAAATATGGGTCAATACTTGTTCTAGCAACAACAACATTTGTAGTAGTGGTGCATCAACAATTTTTTTTGGCCATTTACTTGTGGAGGAATATTTAATTAGTTCTAGTCAGTACTTAGGTTATTAAAATAATGAATTAGTAAGTTCTAATTAATTTTTTTAATAGGGATAGGAATAGAAATACTCAATTTACTTTTTGTTCTTATTTTTAATACATTTTTTGTTATTTATTTTAAAATTCAAGGTATTACATTATTTTTATCTTAGAAGATTATTATATGAGGAAAGAAATTTTATTATGTTATTTTATGACGAATTCGTGCATTATATTAAAATAAAATTTTCCTGTGATTTTTTTTCCATAATCTTGTCTTTTCTCACTTGTATTAACTCTTTTAATTTGTAACTTTGTGATTTTTTTAAAAATTTATATTCATTCCTTAATTCTTCTCTTTTTTATATATTACATATTTATTATATTTTTTTAGTGATTGAAATAGTATAATATAATTTTCAAAAGCTTAATTTGTGAAAATATAGTTTATTATATTTTTTATGCATTTATTTTTCACTTGAATTTCTTAAATTTGTATAGTACGTTTTACTGTCAGTTTTTCTTCTATTGTTTTATATATAAGCATTATAGTGAACACAAAATATATTTCACTTGATAAAAATCTTTATCAACCTAATTATGGATCATAGTGAAACTTTGTAGTTATTTGCATATATTTTTTTTGTTGAAATTACATATAGTTCTTGAAAGAATATAAATAAGAGCCTTTATTATTACTTTACTTTGACAAAGGCATATATGTTCTTTAAAATTATTTCTTTTGATAGGAATTGAAATAAAAATTATTATCAGTATAGGATTCGCAAATTTGAATTTTCGTTAACAATTTATTTGCTTAATTGTTTTTTTAATAATATTAGTAATATTGGTTAATCATAGTGATATCATGAGAAACTACAGCATATTGCATGAAATTTAATACTCATTGTGTAGAATTGTAAAACTCACAAAATTAGAACCAATCAATGGATTGTTTTTATTCAACATAAAACGTGAGAAATCATCTCTAATCTACATTACAAAAATTAAATGTTGGCTAGTTATTAGCTTCAACTTAAAAAATAATGACTAAATTCTAGTAAGTGATAAAATGGATTACCTTGTTGATAATAAACTTTAAGCACATTCCTCATGAATTTTCATGATTATTCTTCTTCATAGTCGTGGTTCTTATTTATAATTTTTGCTAACTATTCAATCTCGTTTTCGTAGTTATGTTTTTTAAGTAATTTTTTTGATTGTTGTTATTCACCAATTATTCTTCCTAATTTTTGTAGTTCTTGATTGAATATAAATAAGAATTTGTATTAATCAATATCTTATAATCTATCTAGAGGGTAAAGAATTGTTCATGATTACTATTTGTATATGAATCTTTATGTTGAATTTTTTTTAACGAGTAGATATCTATGATATTCTATTTTATATAATAATTCTATAATTTAATAAACAAAATAATACAATTAATTTATAATCGAGAGGGATAGGAATTTTTGACAATTACTTTTTAGATAAATAAGTTTAAATTTAATTTTTATTAATGATATTTTTTTATATTTATAATATTTTAAATTATATAATTTATAATATTAAATTATATATTTAATAAAGAGTATAATTCTATTCATTTGTTGAATTTTATACGAAGAGAGTTGGTATAGAAAACTATATGTTATTCATTAATATATGATGTATCACTGGTTGTTCGCTATTATTAATATAATATAATATTAAATAAAGGTAATTTAGTCTTTTAATCTAGGGAAGTTCATGATCATATATATACTAGTTTTTTCTGCACGTGCGATGCACGTAGTATAACATTATATCTTTAAAACCACGTGGTATAGTATTAATCAGCATCTTGATAAAAAATTATATATAATAAGGACAATTTTTTTTCCTTAATCTGGACAAACGGATACGCATTGTATATAAATAATTTATATAGTGAAATATATATTAATTAATCGGTTATTGTCAATGATATTTGTTACTGCTTTAAATTCTAAATTACTTAATTTTAATTATTAAAGTTTATTATTAATGAATGAGATTATTAAATTATATCATTATTTTTCATTATTATTTTGATGATTTTTTTATTTCTTACATTAATTATTTTATTGTAATTTAATTTTTCTTCCTCATAGTCTTTATTGACAATAAACCACAAATGCATCAATCATGAATTCTAATGATAATTCTTTTTCGCTATCATTGTTTATAGTTTCTGATGACCACTCGACGATTCTTCTCCATAATTCTTCTTGATGATAAATTAAAAATATATTTTTCATGAGCTCTTGTGATTCTTCTTCTTCATGATATTTTTGGTAAATATTATTTTTATTCATGGTTTTCGTTGAATTTTTGGCTGTTATTTTTCATAAATTTTATTATTTTTAATAATTATTGTTCTTCATCATTTTTTATAGTTGTTGAGAAAATATAAATAAATACTTATATATTAATCATTATCTTGAGAATAACTTATATATAATGTATGCAAAGAATTTTTTCATAATCTATATAGATTAATTGTTTTAGAATTAGCTTTTGTATTAGAATAGGAATTTATAAGTTTATTACTGTTAAACATATTTGGTATTCTTTGATATTATACATTATATAATTTTTTATTAAATTTATTACGAATGAAAAATATTATCAAGTTATATTATTCTTTTTCGTAGTTTTTGTAACCATCGGTAGTTTTTCTTGACTATTCGATTGGTTTACAAATTTTCTTCTTCATAGTCCTGACAATAAACCACAAACACAACAGTCATGAATTCTTATGATAATTCTTTTCTATATCATTCTTTTCGTAATCATTGTTCATGTTCCTAGTTTTCGTTGACAATTTGAATGCTCTTGAATTTTTCTTGACAATAGTTCTTATTGATAATATATTACAAACACATCTGCCATAAGATCTAGTGACTGTTCTTCCTCATGATTATTCTTTTGATAGACATTATTATAGCTCATAGTTTTTGCTGACTCTTTGTTTCTCCTTCATAATTTTATTGTTTTTCAGTAATTATTATTTTTCTTAATGCTTCGTAGTTGCTGAGAAAATATAAATAAAGCCTTATATATCAATAATTTTCTAAAAGACTTATATATAATGTAAACAATTTTTTTAATGTAATTTAGACAAATGAATTGTTTAGAATTAATTTTTGTATTAAAATAAAAATTTATGAATTAGTTACTGTTAATGATATTTTTTGAATTCTTTGATATTTTAAATTATATAATTCTAATTATTCAATTATACTACTAATGTAGGGGATTATTAAATTTTGTTATTATTTTACTTTTTTTTCATAGTCATTGTTGTTGTTTGTAGTTTTCATTAACTATTCAAATGTTTTTCAATTTTCTTCTAGTTCTTGTTGATAATAAGCTACCAACATATCTATCATGAGTTCTTGTGATTATTCCTCTCTATGATTATTTTTTTCATAAGCGTTGTTCTTGTTGGTAGTTTTCAATGTGGAGTTGGTTCAAGTGGTAATCGACTTGGTTCAGTTTAAGCAAGGTCTCGGGTTCGAGTCCTCGTGTACGCAGAAAATTCTCATCGGGAGACTCACCCACCATACCTAGGTGCGCGACGCGGGTCGACCGGATTAGTCGGGGCAAGGGACTTTATCTAAAAAAATCAAATTTCCGATAGCAATTTGGTATAATGTGACGGACGCGTAACGGTTGATTTGCTCATGCATATGGGATCAAGTATTGGCTTCAAAAGAAAAAAAAAATCAAGCAAAGAAGAAATAATAAGTATAACTATTATAAGATTTTTAAAACATTTAATTTTAGTTTGCTAGGATGTCGTCACGTCGGTAGAAGAAAAATAGTTAATATCCATGGGTTGTTAGTTTTTGTAATTATTATTATACCTTTAATTATAATAGAAAAAAGAGAAGGGTATTTTGGTATTTCAATTTCCTAAGTGTTGGTGCCTTCATGCTTTTATATATAGTATAGATTTATATATAGTATAGATAATAAGTGCAGATAGATTGTATAGATATGATTCATTTTTTTTTACTTTAATCTGTTAGATTTAATTCATGATTTTTGCCCTATTGGTGCAGATTTGTGGAAGCATCAAAAGGCTAAAACATTATACGGCAGAGTTTGTGGATGGGAGCACAGAAAAATTTGACGCCATTATATTGGCAACTGGTTACAAAAGCAATGTACCGTCATGGCTAAAGGTAACATTGCCTCGAAAACTTAACTGTTCTCCACTCTTTTTTTTTTGTCGAAACCGGGATGTATTATAAATACGTCAAAATGTTACAGCAAAATAATGGTCATCAGTGAGTGATGCCACCTTCCTCCAATAACTGTTCTCCACTCTGTAACCTATGTCTAATATTATTTCTTGTAGAACGAGATTCGTCATGTTATTAGAACACAACATATTATCTACTTTCAGTCTATTTAACAAATGCAAAAGGCTTAGTCGACGAGAAAAAGAGAGGTTAAAGTAAGTGATCATGATATTAGCAGGAACGAGACTTCTTCTCGGAAGAGGATGGATTCCCTAGAGGCACATTTCAAAACGGATGGATAGGAGAGCGTGGGCTATATGCAGTGGGATTCGCTAAACGTGGGATATTAGGTGCATCGATGGAAGCCAAGAGTGTAGCAGAAGATATCGGAAGGTGTTGGGAAGCCCAGGCCGAACACGACCCTATATCTTTCGCGCGGCCACTTTCTGATGCAATCAGGCAATGGAATGAGAATTAGTGACCTGTAGCTAACACAATGTTGTCTACAGTAGGGGGTAGACAACATTTGTAAAACCTTGTAATATTTTAGAACTAGGCGGGACTGTTTTAGAGTGGGATGTGTTTTCAAAGAAATTAGGCTGGACTCTTTTAGATTAAATAATAGAAATACGAGTAAGCATTTAGCAATTTAGAATAGAAAATCGAAATTCGTGTATTGTATTTGGAATCTTGAAATTTTCTTTAGGAAACCAAAAAAGAAAAAAGAAACGGGATGGGAGGAGAATCTAATTTAATATTTAATATCTAATATGCTATGTATAATAGCAGAGTTCATATGTATCTCCTTGACTTGCTCACTCACCTTATGTGTTCTTATCCAACAATCAACTCGGAGTCGCCACCCTCATTTTATTCTTTGAAAAATTTTGGGAAAAAACTTTTAAGCGTCACTTTTCTTAGGCGACAAACATAAGGGACTGATCTTAACGAACAAGAGATTGTTGGATTCGGGAGTTCGTCACGGGTAGGAAGGTGTTAGGCACCCCACCCGTGCTGGGGCAAAATCTTGTACGATAAGTGAATCAAAATGCCTTGTGTACGTGTGAAAGTGTGTAAACAAATCACATAAACAAAATAAATACTGAAATCTAAAAAAAGGGAAGGGGGAAAAGATTTGGCTAATGAGTCTCTACCACTAGTTACCACCTACGTACCCCGGCAACCGGCTTCAAAGCCCACGTTGAAACGTCCGCATCCCAATTTTAATAATATAAAATATTTAAATACTAAAAATGACCAAAATACCCCCATAACCCGGGACACATAAATCAGTGCCTCGGCACACAAAAAACATTGTTCATTAAAAATATCTTAACACTGAGATGTCATAAAAACAACATAAGATAGTAAACCAGCTAAATAGCCGCAAGTCAAACCCGCTACGTCGCCGATAAGAAATGAGTCAACATTGTCAATACAACATCTCAGCAAATTATATGCAGCGAATACCCAAATAATTACAGAAGACACGAGAAGAAAATGAGATGCAAGCTGACCCTATGGATCCAATCGAAAGGCAAGGCACAATTACTTGCTGATAATACTGTGTCTGGACTTCGGGAAGAGAGATGGAATCAGCATGCTAGCTAAAGTCTGAAAAACAATGGTGGCAATTATATGAGTCGCCTACTCAGTGATCATTACAAGTCTCATTGTGTAAGCAAGCGAAGTCAGGCTCATAGGGTGAGTGGGTCTAGGAGCACAAGTCAGCATACATACAATAACTGTGAGTACCCGATCCAAAATTCATTGGGCTTACTCGCCACCTTCTTCTTAGCCGTCATCCACATCTTTGGAGTCGCCACCCAAATTTTATTTTAGGGCAAAATTCAGGGAAAAACCTTCCTTAGGCAACTAATGACTCCTTAAGGCAACCGATAGGCGAACCAAAAGATATAGACCCGGGGGTTTGTCATGGATGAGAAGGTGTTATGCACCCATCCATGTTGGGGCAAGATTGAAACGCCCCGGATTTTTCATAATTTAAATTTATGGAATTTTCGGAATTTTAATTCTAATTTTGCCCTTGAGGAATTTCCGGATTTTTGGATCAGGGAAATAAATTATTTTACCTTGGTTAGATCAATATTAAGTCGTTAGTGTGATGAGTATGGCTTTTGTTGGAGTCTAAACGTGTTTCGGAATGAAGCGCGGGGGTTTACCGTAGTTTTGGACTAAACTACGTCGTTTTGGGTTAAGGGAAAAGAAAAAAAAAACAACAAAACCCTAAATCCTAGCGGGTGTTGACCAAGGGCGAGTTGACCGCGCCTTAGTCTAAAACGATGTCGTTTTGGACCAGGCCGGCCAACCCTAATCCCCCTTCCCTTTCTTTCTTTTCTTTCCTCTCCATTTTTCTTTCTTCCTTCTCTTCTCACCCGACGGCGCCTCACCCTCACTCTCACTCTCTCTCTCTCTCTCTCTCTCTCACTCTCTCCCTCTCGTTTTCATCAACAACCATCTCCCTCACTCTCTCTCGCCGCACCGCTGCTCAGAGTAGAGCTGCCGCCGCACCCGCAAGCCAAGGAGTTGGCTTTGCGCCGCATCGGGGACAGGAGACGTGGCAGTTGAGGGCTGACGGCAGAGAACTTGAGGACCAAGTCCGGTTGTTGCCGTCCTTGTACTGGTATGCCGCTGCACCTCCTCTCTTCTATTTCTTTTCTCGATTTCGGGTTTTTGTGTTGATGGGTTCTTTGATGTTGTGGGTGGCGGCTGGGCTCGTCATGGCGGTGGCGGCTGGGCTCGTCATGTGGGTTGGAAACCCGGATGTTTGATTGAGATAATAATTCACACAACCCTGTTAAATCACAACTCTTGGCACACATGAACTTATAAGTATGAATAAGAATAATGTACAGTAGAAGATAGGCTACTGTGTGCTGATGACCGGTTGGTTCAAGCGGGAAGTGATACCCCTCGGGTTTGCATGCGGGATAGCATGGTATATGCGGTTTAGCATATGGATCTGTGATGACCGGTTCTACCTCCCTCCTTCTACCTCCCCCTTTCTACCTCCCTCTTTCTCTCTGTCTCTCTCTCTCTCTCTCTATGGTGATATTTAGGCATTATGCCTGGTTATATTGGGCCTTCGCCCTGGTTGTCTCATGAGACGGGACCGAGCTCGACGCACACAGTAGGGGGCCCTGAAGGTATCCCTGAGTACGGACGTGGTTATCCCTACAGGTGGCTGTGCTTCTTCTCCCGGTTGGATCCATAGAGCCGACTTTCATAGCATATTCTTCTTTTGTTTTTATCTCATCCTTATCTTCCGCTGCATTGGATTTGTTGAGATGTCATTTTTGATTTTGATTACTTTATCGGCGGGTTGCCGGGATTTGATACCTGATGATGTTTCGGCGGATTGCCGGGTTGACTTATGGCTCAATAAGCCGGTTTTCTTTTGTACTTTATGACATCTCGTCTTATTCAAAATTTTCAGATAATGTTCTGGTTTTGAATTTTGTGTCCCGGGTTTCAGGAGCATTTTGGTAAATTCCTTTGATTAAGTATTTTATTTATAAAATTGGGACACAGGTGTTTCAGCTTGGTAGCGGAGCAGGCTTCAGATCCTTGGTTTTAAAAGTGTTTTAAACCTTGTTTTCAAAGTGATTTCTGTGTTTAAGCCTGTTTCCGAATTTATGACTTTAAAAGTGTTTTTGACTCTTTTGCCTTCATATAGGCGTTGATATGGATCACCAGGGGCAGCACAATGCTGAGGATGATGCCGTTACTCATGTCTCTGAATGTGTCGGTGATGCAGGTTCCCGTTGGTCAGGGGAACAATAATGCAGCAGGGAATAATGCTGCAGGTGGGGGAGAACAGAACATTGTGCCACCCGTACCACCTGTTGTGGACCCAGCGTTCCAGTAGTATCAGGCCTTTTTGCAGTGGCAACAGTTTCAGCAGCAGCAACAGGGTGCCCAACCGGTAGCACCTGCTGCGGCAGATGGTATGGAGAGCGGGTATAAGCACATGGATAAGTTAGCAATTAAGGAATTCTCTGGTGAAGAGGGCAAAGCCAAGGAGTTTGATGATTGGTTCCGCCAGGTGGAGAATGTTCTGGAGAAGTTCACTTGTGCACCTGAGTAGAGGGCTCGATTTGCAGCACACGAGTTCTCGGGATATGCATTGACATGGTGGCAGGAACTTGTGGCCAACCTACCGAAGCCTGTGGAGATGCCATGGGAGGATTTCAAGGAGAAATTCTACAAGGAGTTTCTCACTGTTGGTTTTCTGAAGGAACAGAAGAAGCAGTTTCTTGAGGTGAAGTAGGGACTAGATGAGTTGGTATCAGCTTTCAGGATCCGGTTCAGCATCCTTCTCTCTTATGCTAGGGAGTTTGTGCCCGATGAGGTGATTAAGTGTAGGCGGTTTGTTAACGACTTACGTACAGAGTTGGCTTTAGCTGTGGCTGGTGGAGGGCACAAGACTTGGGAGGCAGTTTGTGAGGCTGCTTTTGATGCTGAGAGAGTGCAGTTGATCGGGAAGGAGGCTCGGACAGCCGAGCAGAGGAAGCAGTCATCAGCTTCTGGACAGAAGAGGCAGTATTCTGATGCCGAATATGCAGATTATTCTGGTGGACAGGGTTCTTCTTACCGAGGTTCGAAGAAGTCCCGAGGGCAGAGTGACTAGGGTGGACCAGGTAGATCCTCGGGAGGACGGTCCTACCAGTCTGGATCTAAGGGACGGGGTTCCTCGGCACGATTCTCGGGTACATGCTGGTATTGCAATAAGCCGGGACACCAGAAGTCATCTTGTTACAAGTGGATTAAGGATAGTGGTGGCAGTGGTTCCAAGTATACAGTGCAGAGTTCGGTGGCTAGTGGTGCTTTTTCTTCTGGTCCGAACAGGGGTGGCGGACAGTAGGGTCGAGGTCGTGGGGGTTCTGGAGCTCCAAACCGCGGGGGTGCAACTCAGTCTGCTGCAGCTCCTAGGGTTTATACCATCACCCGGGAGGAGGCTGCTGATGCTCCAGAGGTTATAACAGGTACATTTATGGTTTTTTGTCAGTATGCACATGCTGTAGTTGACCCTGGCTCAACACACTCTTCTGTATCACATGCATTCATGACCACTCATAACATAGAAGATGATAACCTTAGTAGACCCCTGAGAGTCCGTTTTCCCACAGGTGATATAGTAGTTGTTGATCGAGTTTGTAGAGATGTATCAATAGAGTATGATAGTGAGAGTTTTCCTACTGATCTTGCTGTCATAGACTTGGGAGAGTTTGATGTTATCTTAGGCATGGATTGGTTGTTCAGACACCAGGCAGTAGTTGATTGTCGGGCCAGGAAAGTGTCTTTGTCTTCTCTGTTGGGGCGTAGATTGGTGTTTGTTGGAGAGCGAAGAGCCCTATCGGAGTGTTGTATCTCAGCCATCCAAGCTTTCAGGATGATCCGACAGGGTTATGATGCTTTTTTAGCTCATGTGGTCGATTCTTCGGTACCAGTACCTGG